GTAGCATTGACAGAAGTAGCAGTGGTAGTAGCAGTAGTAGTGGTGGTAGCATTGACAGAAGTAGCAGTGGTAGTAGCAGTAGTAGTGGTGGTAGCATTGACAAAAGTAAGCAGTGGTGAAATTGTAGCAGTAGCAGTGGTGGTAGCATTGACGGAAGTAGCGGTGGTAGTAGCAGTAGTAGTGGTGAAGCATTGACAGAAGTAGCAGTGGTAGTAGCAGTAGTAGTGGTGATGGTAGCATTGAAAGAAGTAGCAGTGGTAGTAGCAGTAGGTGAAGTAGTGGTGGTGAAGCATTGATAGAAGTAGCAGTGGTAGTAGCAGTGGTAGTGGTGAAGTAGCATTGATAGAAGTAGCAGTGGTGGTAGCAGTGAGTAGTGGTGGTGTAGCATTGACAGAAGTAGCAGTGGTAGTAGCAGAGTAGTGGTGGAAGCATTGACAGAAGTAGCAGTGGTAGTAGCAGTAGTAGTGGTGGTAGCGATGACAGAGTAGAAGTAGCAGTAGTGGTGGTGAAGCATTGTGGAAGTAGCAGTGGTAGTAGCAGTAGTGGTGGTAGCATTGACAGAAGTAGCAGTGGTAGTAGCAGTAGTGGTGGTGGTAGCATTGACAGAAGTAACAGTGGTAGTAGCAGTAGTGGTGGTGGTAGCATTGACAGAAGTGGCAGTGGTAGTAGCGGTGGAGTGGTGGTAGCATTGACAAGAGTAGCAGTGGTAGTAGCGGTAGTGGTGGTGGTAGCATTGACGGAAGTAGTGGTAGTAGCGGTAGTGTGCATTGTAGCATTGAGAAGTAGTGGTGGTGGCAGTAGTGGTGGTAGCATTGACAGAAGTAGCAGTGGTAGTAGCAGTAGTAGTGGTGGTAGCATTGACAGAAGTAGCAGTGGTAGTAGCAGTAGTGGTGGTGGTAGCATTGACAGAAGTAGCAGTGGTAGTAGCAGTAGTAGTGGTGGTAGCATTGACAAAGTAGCAGTGGTAGTAGCAGTAGTAGTGGTGGTAGCATTGACTGAAAGTAGCAGTGGTAGTAGCAGTGGTAGTGAAGTAGTGGGTGGTAGCATTGACAGAAGAGTAGCAGTGGTAGTAGCAGTAGTGAGTGGTGGTAGCATTGACAGAAGTAGCGGTGGTAGTAGCGGTAGTAGTGGTGGTAGCATTGACAGAAGTAGCAGTGGTAGTAGCAGTAGTGGTGGTGGTAGCATTGACAAAGTAGCAGTGGTAGTAGCAGTAGTAGTGGTGGTAGCATTGACAAAAGTAGCAGTGGTAGTAGCAGTAGTAGTGGTGGTAGCATTGACAGAAGTAGCAGTGGTAGTAGCAGTAGTAGTGGTGGTAGCATTGACAGAAGTAGCAGTGGTAGTAGCAGTAGCAGTGGTGGTAGCATTGACAGAAGTAGCAGTGGTAGTAGCAGTAGTAGTGGTGGTAGCATTGACAGAAGTAGCAGTGGTAGTAGCAGTAGTAGTGGTGGTAGCATTGACAGAAGTAGCAGTGGTAGTAGCAGTAGTAGTGGTGGTAGCATTGACAGAAGTAGCAGTGGTAGTAGCAGTAGTAGTGGTGGTAGCATTGACAGAAGTAGCAGTGGTAGTAGCAGTAGAAGTGGTGGTAGCATTGACAGAAGAAGCAGTGGTAGTAGCAGCAGTAGTGGTGGTGGTAGCATTGACAGAAGTAGCAGTGGTAGTAGCAGTAGTAGTGGTGGTAGCATTGACAGAAGAAGCAGTGGTAGTAGCAGTAGTGGTGGTGGTAGCATTGACAGAAGTAGCAGTGGTAGTAGCAGTAGTAGTGGTGGTAGCATTGACAGAAGTAGCAGTGGTAGTAGCAGTAGTGGTGGTGGTAGCATTGACAGAAGTAGCAGTGGTAATAGCAGTAGTAGTGGTGGTAGCATTGACAGAAGTAGCAGTGGTAGTAGCAGTAGTAGTGGTGGTAGCATTGACAGAAGTAGCAGTGGTAGTAGCAGTAGTAGTGGTGGATGACGTATTAGTGATTGAACGTGCTAAAAAAATACAGAAGCAATTGTTGTTGTGCTGGCTGTTGTGACAGACGTAGTAGTGACTGAGCGTGCAGTTGAGGTAGTAATAGTAGTAGTCGGAGTTGTAGTGGGTGAGTGAGTGAGTATGGTTTTACGCCGCTTTTAGCAATATTCCAGCAATTTCACGGAGGGGCACCCCAGAAATGCGCTTCACACATTGTGTCCATGTGGGGAATCGAACCCGGGGCTTGGCGTGGCGAGCCAACGCTTTAACCATTAGGTTACTCCACCCCTTGAGTACACAGGAATTTTGCGATGAGTTTAAGAAATGTTCTCGGGAGATGACAGCGACTCTTTATGTAAATATATGAGTGATAATGAATGTGGTCTTAACTGCATCTTTCATGCCTTTCAGTTGACAGCCACGACAGGCAGAAGGCTATATATGTGAATATAGTGGCCATCAAATATCTGTCAGTTACCTTTACAAGAACAAAACAGTTTGAGGCGAATGATTTACACAACTGAAGTGCTTTAGAAACCATTCCTGCACGATGGTTCGTACAGTAGTCCGAGGCGTGGCATCAAAATGGGCAGGATTCAGGGTTCGAATCCCATATTGTTTCCGATTATGATCCATGATCTGTCATCACGTCAGAAGTGGTTTTATGAAAGTGGTCAAGATACTCGGTCTGTGTACATTGTACAGAATTATGTTGCTGTAAGTGAAGCGATTTTACAAGCGGTGAGGCGCAGTGAGGCGACAAGGGGTTTTAGGTTGAATTCAAATTTACTGCACTTGTTTAACGACGTACATGTTTGCGTGTGCGTATTTTTGTGTGCCTATATCTTACTCAACTACTAATAAGAGACTGCTGGCAGTCAGTATTGTTTCACATTACAACGAGCCTGATCCATATCGAGATTCACATATGTTTTCCATTTAGGACCTGCCTAGTGGTTAAGGCGTTCGCTCGTCACGCCGAAACCCCGGGTTCAATTCCCCACATGGGTACAATGTGTCAAGCCCATTTCTGGTGTCCCCCGCCGTGATATTGCTGGAATATTGCTAAAAGCGGCGTAAAACCAAACTCACTCACTCACTCCATTTAGCACCTTCGTGTAACAACTTGGCTACCCTGACATGCATAGCCATAGATATACTTTTCGGGGATGGGACTGAATGTTTTAAGTGAGTGAGTGAATAATTGGGTTTTAATCCCGCTTTGAACAATATTCCAGCTACATCACGGCGGGTCAGCTTAGCCTGGGAGGAAGGCCCGAACTGATGTACGTGGAGGAAGGTTAGGATGCTGTTTACATCAGCTCCTTTAATAACCAGTCAGGAATTGATGTGTGGAAATTCTGTTGGGAATACGTGAATAGGTGCTTAGTGACTCGGGGTTTATCTGTCATATATTGACGTTACGTAATAATCAATGACGTCATTAACAGATTATATGTCGTATTTTATCGGGGTTGTCTGTCATATATTGACGTTACGTAATAATCAATGACGTCATTAACAGATTATATGTCGTATTTTGTCGGGGTTGTCTGTCATATATTGACGTTACGTAATAATCAATGACGTCATTAACAGATTATATGTCGTATTTTGTCGGGGTTGTCTGTCACTACGTAAAGCTTATTCCGTATGATAGACCTGTTTGTTGTTTAACACCACACTCCGTAATTTATCCGCCATATAACAACGGTCTGTATATCTTCGGACCAGACACTCCAGTGATTGACATCATGAGCATCTATTGTCTGTTTGTAAATTTCATATTTTTATTCATAAGCTGATGTGTAATCTCATATTCTGGACAACGACAACGAAATTATAGAAATCTACCTTATAACTTGCGAATCAATGTCGATAAGTCATGGGTGATTCCCAAAAATAATTTCATATTGGTTTTTAACTACTTCAACTCAGTATTTGTGTAGATGACAGCACATAACCTACACGTGTTGTGAATGTGCGTGTATCCGATCAAATCGATACACCCTTATACAGAAACATAACACAATAAATCCAGAGAATAAGTCTTAATTACCCAAAGTAACATATCCCATTGGGCTTATTTGGTGTGAACATTTTACTGAATGGATCAACGAAAATCAGGTGTTATGACAGATGCATATAAAGGTGTTATAACAAACATATAAAGGTTTTATGATACATGCATATACAGGCATGTATGTCACTAGTTCAAACTACACTCTGCATATTTACATGTGAATAAATAAAAGCGACAAAGACATAAACGATAAGATAACTTAAAAATCAAATGTGACAATATTTGTTTCTTAGTATCCGTGCTATTCATTCAGTCACTCAAAGTAGATCTAATGGATTAAACTAATCTCGACATATGTACAACTGTGACGACAGACGCAAGGTAATTAGCCGTGTTGATTAAACACTTTATTATGTCGTCACAACACAATTAGTGCTTTTGACGTCATTAGAACGCTATACAACGACCGTCTGCCATCTGTGACAAACTAACAGGTATAAAAAAACATCATCGTTATATGACGATCGGAATCAATAACCTAATTATCTTTTGATTTTGAGGCTGTTTTTTTTAGATTAAAATTTTGACCCCTACTAGGCGTAGACGATACTTTCTTCAAATTACTTTCATTTGAATCAAAATCATGTGTGCCTTTCTTTCGTAATCAATACATGATCTTCTAATGTGTTTTCAACAGACAGATTGAACTTCTGAGTAGGTTCCACACTAGGAGTCCGTGTAAACTAAAGGTTATATCTGCACACAGATGCTACTAGTAGTACGAAGGAGGAAAGCACTGATTGTAGCAATGCAGTCTTCTGTTGAACTGAAGAGTCCAGTCCGTTGGGAGACTGTAACATAGAGCATCCCCATTACAACCTGTTTGTCATACAAGGCGATTAGGGGGCGAAAGGAGTGCCAGTGTGACGTGTATGGAAATGTATTGTCCAGTTGTCCGGTTGGACAGACAAACTTCGTTGTATCTTTGTCCCATTGTGTTCGTGCCTCTGACGTGGCCGATGTCGCGTCGGTGGTGTGTCTGACGTTGCTGTCGGTGTGGATCGATAATACTCCCGCTACCGTTGTTACAGCCCGGTTATCCACAATGTTGCTGGAATATTGCTGGGGTCGTGCTGTGATTTTGTTACAGTTATGTAATATCGCTGACATTATCCCTGCAATTAGGGTAGCCTAGTGGTTAAAGCGTTAGCTTGTCATCCTGAAAACAAGAGTTCGATTCCACATGGTTACCTTGTGTGTAGACCACTTCAGGTGTCAGCTGATTTGATATTACTGGAATAGTGATAAAAGCGGCATAAGACCTTTTTTCGCACTCACCATTGTCTTGGGATGGAGGTGTGTATTGCTGGGGCATTGCAAATCAAATGTTGTTGAAATCTACATCAATGATTCAATCGTTGTTGAAATCTTCATTTATTTTTATTTATTCAATCGTTGTTGAAATCTACATCAATGATTCCATCATTGTTAAAATCTACATCAATGAATCCATCGTTGTTGAAATCTACATCAATGATTCCATCGTTGTTGAAATCTACATCAATGATTCCATCGTTGTTGAAAATCTACATCAATGATTCCATCGTTGTTGAAATCTACATCAATGATTCCATCGTTGTTGAAATCTTCATCAATGATAACGTTCATACTGGCATGAAATTCATTCTGGTGTCCCCCGCCTTGATATTGCTGGAATATTGCTAAAAACGGCATAAAACCATACTCACTCTCCCACTTGTACCGTTAGAAATACCAAAACCTCAACGCCAAAGACGAGTCAGCTTTAACAATCGGAAGAAAAAGATCCATCTGGAAAAATAAGGAAGCCAACGGCAAAGATGAATGGATAAATGAAAATCAGTAATGATACCATGAAATTTTTTAATTCTAATCTAAGAAATAATATGAAAAGATAACCATGTCATCACCGTGTGAAAAGCTCTGAACTTGCAAGGCAAAGTTTGAATGTATAAATTTTGAATGATTTTTATTCAGAAAATATTTAAGATCATTTTGGCCTGTCCTAAGCCACATGAAATATTGATACTAATATGAGAGTAGGATCAATTACACAGCATAATCCACACCGTGGGTAATGCACAAACCGCCTACAGAAACAATTGAATTAAAGGAATAGCCCAGTTTGTGTATGTTTATACAATATATCTGCTACACTAAAAGAGACGCTGTGTCTGTGATGAGCTTCATGTCAGTATAGTCAATGCAAACACGATAACAGTTAATGTTGCCTTTGAGTGTACTTTAGAGAAACACGCCGTTTGAGAGAGGCAGTGAGCACAAGAAAAACGTCTGTAGCCTTGAGTGACCTTCCCAATTACTTAGGAGAATTGCGAGCTTGTTCTATCAAACGTCTTTGGGAGACTCATTCTAAGTATAGTGGCTAAAAGAAACAAAAGATCAAATGTCTATAGTCGATATAGGGTCCATCACTGACACATTTCAGACAAGCTAAGAATAAACAAAACAGGAAACAAATGGTTATTATTATAAGTAAAGACATATTGCCAGACTGTGTTCCGTCCGGACATTATGAGTGACGACAATAATTGTTGTACATGAAACAGTGGAGCTCTTTTACCACAAAGTGATGCTATGTTTCTTGGAAGATGAGTGACCTATATCACATGGACGTTTTTGTCACAGGCAGGAAACGGAATGTGTTGAAAAATAGTGGGAAGACGACCTTGATATATATTTAAAAGAATAATTTGTTGTTGTTCTTTCAGGAAACAGTGGAGTTCTTGTGCTCCCAAAGAGTTGATGTGGTTTATGGAAGAAGTGCGACCTACATGTATATCAGATTGACGTTGTTGTCACATGCAGGAAACTGTATGTTAACAGTTAAAACCGTTGATATATATTTTCAAAAGAAGAAATTGTAGTTGTCTTTCAGGAAACAGTGGAGTTCTTGTGCACCCAAAGAGTTGCTGTGGTTTATGGAAGAAGTGCGACCTACATGTATATCAGATTGACGTTGTTGTCACATGCAGGAAACTGTATGTTAACAGTTAAAACCGTTGATATATATTTTCAAAAGAAGAATTTGTAGCTGTCTTTCAGGAAACAGTGGAGTTATTTTGCATCCTTACTGATGTTGTGTTCCTTGGAAGACATTATGTTGACGTTGTTTTCTATTTCATGTTTAGAATTTTTGTGTTTAACGCCACAGTGTGTAAGTCTGAAAATATGTAAGTACAGACAAGAGAATCCAGTGACTGATAACCTGAGCATCGATCCGAGCAACAGGGAGAAGAGGACGTTTAATGAACCAGGTCACTGAGCTGAGCTGATCAATTACGTAGCTTCTAACGACAGGCACAGGTTGCTGGGGACCTGTAGTACTACCTGGAATCTCCACTGGTGTAACATGCGGTACCACATGGCATGGGCTAAAGTTTCCGTGAAACATAATTGCCAAAATAGACATAGCTTTCAGGCCAAACTTTAGCAAAGTAGTGGCACCAATTGTCAAGTTTTCATTGCTGATCACTTTTTTTCATTCTCAGCTCTCAGTAAACAATCAATCTACCGGGTACCCATTCAGTGCGGAACGACTACAATGTTTCCTTCGTTAGCCTTCTAATGTCAAATAACTATCCGTCCTCGTTCTCTAACAACCTCGGTTGAAATTCTGATATTGCCTGCTATCGTTTTCCATCTGACTCAGCATTCAGGATTATGTTGCATTAAGCTGGAATTACAACCAGTAATCACATGACTCAAATTCGGGTGAGCACGGGTCGCCCGAAATTCGTTAGTCAGAGTCGCTTCCCTCAGATGCAGCAGGATGCGCTGTTTCGAATCGTTTATTCGCCCTGGTTCACTCAGGTAGTAAACGTCTAAGAAGTGCCACTTTTTCCCACATTCAGCTGACAGTGATTGATATAATTTATAAACTGGTCAAAGCTGTTCTTTGCAAACTAACTCACTCACACATACAGTTTTGTTATAGATCATCTGTATTCCAGCGGTCTCACGAAGGTCTATAAATAGCGTAGGTTTGGTTGAGGAAACCAGTGGTTGAAAACATGACCATCATGATCCATCATATTGTAACTGAAACAACAATATACGTACTTGCTAACCATTATTGAAAACTATCTCAAATGTTTTTTATCAAATACATTGGTGCACAAAGGAAATACGTACTTGGACATTTTCAGCGCAGAATTTCAAACCTCACAACAGCGTGACGACTAAACCAGTTGAGGAGAGATTGCTAACTTACCGCCCAAAGCAAACTTAAGCTAGCCGTATTAAACTCATCACCATCGAGGATCCAGTTTTTGTTTGTTTCATTTTCATCATGTATAAAACATGAGTGTAGTCTTTCCTTAGCACGGCAGGTTATTAACGAGCTAAGTGTTTTTGTTAATAAAAACTGACATAATAACACATGGTATGCATTCCACATGGTAACGGTAATGAACTCGGACTCTTGCCATTGACTCAGGCCATTGGCCTGTTTACTGAATGAAGAATAGAAAATGAAGGTTTTAATAGAAATTGAAAAATCCGTTAGATGTTGAAATAAATCAAGTCTGTTGATTGTTGGTAATGTACAATGTGCAACTGCACACATCCCAAACCGAATCACCTCTATTATTCTTTTAAAATGTGAATTTACATTCACGCGGTATTTTAATGTCTGATATAATTTCAGTTTCCAGAAGAGGCAGCTAAAGGTTTTATGCCAACTCGTGGCATTTAAATCGCCATTCAATGACGTTTCTTAATGGCATAAACATTTACTTTTGCAAACATAAAAATGATATCATGAATTAGAGTGAAATTTTGAAACCATAATTTTGAAATGGCCATAACAAGGCAGGGATGCAAACAATAAACATTAGCCTTAACTTCTTTAAGATCATTAAGAAAACAAATTTGTAACTATAGTAATAAACAGTATTCATCAGTTTGTCATACTGATTGTGGACAGGAATTGGTGAGGTAGCCTAGTGGTTAAAACGTTTGCTCGTCACCTCGAAGGCCGAGGTTTGATTCCCCACATTGGTGAAATGTGTGAAGTCCATTTCCAATGTCCATTCCCGCCGTGATATTGCTGGAATATTGCTAAAAGCGGCGTAAAACCCAACTCACTCACTCACTCACTCCAATGTCCATCGCTGTGATAAGTGAAAAAGATTGCTAACAGCGGCGTAAAACCACTCACTCACTTTTTGTGGACGGATTGATCGCGGAAGTGTTCAAAATATTTGTGTTTTAAACGACGTACCCAACAACATATGCTAATGATGTCCATGCCCATGGATGGCCTATCATTTCTAGTTAGTATTGTTCATCTGTAATATCATGCATTTATCACTGAAACGTCTACATAACACTTTTAAAGTTACTTTCTTGTTGATAGGAAATGAGGCACACATATGATATATCAGAGTACTGTAACATCCACCAGTCTCACATACTAAAGTAAGGGCTATCGTTAATTGTTGTCTCTTAGAGCCGTTATACCATCATAAATATCGTAAGTATCGCGAGTAAGTATAAGCGGCAAAACCACTTTAGAATTTTCTCATAAAAGCAGAGTGCACTGTACAATATCAAAAGCATGTGATCATGAGCGATATCACTGAAGGGTGACCGTATATTGCCTCCTAGGTGGCATCGTCACAAACACATGTAAAGGCATGGCAACTGTTTATTGTAAAGAAATAGGAATATATTGAACAAGTCAAAATAGGGAACAGGAACGGACATCATTTTGGTCACTGATTTGGAAATGTTCGCCATCTACCGCAAGAGGTGTCGGAGGCTTCGCAAAGGCATTAGATGTTGTAACCCTCATCAAACAACTTTGTGAACATGAGTTTTGTGACGCCTGTGAACTCGTTGTAGAAATAGCAGGGATCTGGAATAGTGCTCGACATAAAGGGGAAGTTGACTATCGGAAAGTTCACGTCGCCCCTCTTTAATACAATTTTGGAAAATGTTTTGTCAATCTGAATCTGTATGCCACAATCTAGATATGAA